GGAATGTAGTAACTCCTAAACTTATAACCTGATAAGGAGGAAAGTATTTTCCTTTTGTGTTATAAGAAAACGCATGGAAGATTGCTATGAAGTGTAAAACTTAATTTGTCCAAAAAATGATAATAGCTAATAGAAAGATCGATGAAGGTTTTCTGATATCACCCGGCATGCGATTAATTATTCTTTTACCCCAAAACGCATAAGTGGATTCCTTCAAACAGATTGATGATGAAAATTTGGTTTCTTTAATTAGTGATGATTATAATTGATTGCCTAGCTGACTTTAGTATTCGTCACTGCAGCCTTCTTATATGGTCTCACCATCTCAGTGCACTAATTAACATATTTACGAAAAACCTTCAAATTGCCATTTTGGTGTATGAACACATGATGCCAGACAAATTCTGCTGCCACCCGACCTATTATTCTTTTTATTTATTTGTCTATTAATTTGAGAGTGACCATGCCCTACCTTTACAAGTGACAATTGAGTGTCTTATCAAACAAAAGAAATTGACAATGAAGTGGCGTCTCCCATGTAGGGGGTACAAGTTGGATTGGAAAATTCGATTCCGACCGATTTCATTTTGATAATTTTCAATTTTTGCAAGTCCAAATCAATTTCGATACATGATAATTATGTTAAAAATTGAATTCAAATTGGAATGTATCTAGGGATTCCAAAATATATTGGAATATCAAGTTTCGAATACACACAATTAATAATTTCATGTTGAATTAAATACAATTTAATGACCAAATAGATATAGGCAAGTTATTTCATAAACGGTAACAACATCTAAGTCGTACTAGCATATAATAGTTTTTCAAGCTTATGGTATGAGTTTTCAATTTTGAGTCAATTTTAATCATTCAAATGGTTGAGCATGTTTAGAATTTTAAACTAGTTTCCGGAATTTGTATGGAGTGGTAATCACTCATCATAAAGTTAGTCGAGAAATTTGACAATTTACGGAACATCTTCCTTTCCGATACAAGAAATTTTAATTTATTTTCATATTCATAAATCTCTTTATCGTTATGGTAATGGATGGTGTAGCTATACATAATACAGGTAAATTATGCTCCTCTCAAATGTGCCGTGCCGTC